ATAGCATTAGACAACAATGGCTAACATGCATTCTAAGAAGAAACTAAACTAGAAGAAAGGAGCCTAAAAGCCCATTAAAACGTTCATTCCTAAGACTTCGAACATTTTGGCTTTATCAAAGTCTGAAAACATTTCACGACCTTGCCTGTCCAAAACAAATTGAGCTCGGCCACATATCCTCTGCAATTTTTTTTCATATTCCTGCAAGATTACCAATCACAACATGTCACATCACAGTGCTACACTCAAGAGCCCTAAGTCGTAACAACCCCTATCTCGTTAGTATTATCTAAGTGATTTTCCATGCTGTGATTGGTAAATGCCACTTGATCAAACTGACTGAACAGATGTTCCGCTTTTGTGAGACGGACTAGCAAGTAGACATTACAACTGATTAGCTCTTCACAGTATGTCTGTTGTAGCTACGCAGTTTGTGAGTTTCGAATTGCATAACTCACCCATAAGGGTACATCACTCCTTGCTGGTAGGTATAAGCAGGTGGTTGCTGATACGGATGGCTTCCAAAACCCTGCACACTTCCAACGTATGGGGAAGCAGGTCTTATCCGTCCTAACCAAAATAAACATTATGCGGTAATTATCCACCCGAAGAGAATATTTCATCAAATTACGAAGGTCTCAGTAACTAATTCAAGAAAAGGAACAGATGGATACTGAGACAAGACTCACCAGGAATGTTGGGTATGACTGCATATTGCATGGGAAACCGAGGTCTCCCAAGGGAAGCGAGATTGCAATTAGCTCGTCTACCATCTATAATCGGTGTTGGATCGACACAGGCTCTCCTAGCCGCCTCTGGATCTCGGAAAGTAACCTACATCCTCCATACAAATCATTAACAAAGCGCTGAGTCAATCTACAATCATCATGGAAGTAAACTAATAGATATATAAATGAAACAATAGCAAAAGACTCCTCTGAGTTACAATTCACAAGTAGCAAAAAGGACCAGAGAGGTTTCAGCAACATTTACGAATTCAACATTTTTTAGTTTATCCACGAAGCTATGATCGATCCTAAGCTAAGGAAATCATTTTGTATCTACGAGCCCCTAAGAAACTGTCACTGTAATTATGAAACTCTAAAGCAAAATTTAGGAACCTTAAATCTCTAAGCACACCATGGAAGTAGAGGATGTTCATTACAAGCAGCAACAAACCAACATTTAGTACAGAAAACAAAATGGAGAAAAATAGGATACTCACAAAGCCGTAACCTTTAGATCGAGCAGTGTTCTTATCGGTAATAACGACGGCCTCAAGGATATCACCATAGTGTTCGAAATGCCGACGAAGAGTCTCGCTTTGAGTCTCCCACGCAAGACCACCCACAAAGACCTTTGTATAGGTTGTATCACCAAAAGGAGAATTCGAGTAATGAAACCCAGAACCCGGAATCGAATGATACGCCATGGTTTAGAAACAGAACACAACAAGAACCGATTCTATTCTAAGTAAAGACTAAAACTTGACCCAGTAAACCCTAGAGATTAAAACTTAGCGTAGAGAGTAGAGAAGAAAAATACAGAAGTAATCGAATTTGAAAGAGGAGAATTCTAGGGTTTACTCGGGTCTGCGA